CCTGTTTTCTTGGCTGTAGATGAGCAGAAACCAGTGCATGGGTCCCAGCGGCTGTCTAGGTACAGGGGAGGAAATAAAAGCAACTGGAGTCTCACTGGAGCAGTCGGCTTTAGATATTCCACTAGCTAGACTGCTCAGTCCTGAAAGCAGTTTCGTTTTAACTTCTTGCTTAAATTTTGGGGACAGACCAGTACCCCATTTACAAGGATATGGAGACTGGCTAGGTTTGTGCCAGGGAGGTCTGTGCCTGAAGTTACCCTCTTTTCCCCTCTATCTGAGATTATTCACTCTATTGATTTTCACTGAAAGACAAAGTATTTGAGGCTTCCTCAGGAGTCTAGGTCTCGGCAAATCTAAGCTTTCACTTGGAATAGTGGTCCTTTTAGAAAGAAGCCCTACTTATGTGAGCAGTGCCAGTGCTGTAGAATAAGGGTCTCAGAGAAACCGGGATCAACACTTTTTCTAAGAAAATGTCTGTTTTCCAGCACATGGAGTGTGTTGGTTGCATTGCTCTAACCTAGGCCAGCCTGTACAAGGGTAGCCCTCAGAGGTGAATTTGCATGAACAGTTCCATGAGAACTTAGCAAAGTGAAAGCTTTCTGCCCAGGGTGTTGTATTTGGCCATTCCACATCTGTGACCTGCAGTGGGCTGGTGTTGCTTATAACTCCACCTTCTACCAAGAAGGAATAAAAATCACCACCCCCTTCCAAATGTCATAGTGGGGACCAGACCCACAACTAAGATTCTGGGCTCTATAAAGTGTATCCTTGGGACTTAAGGGTTCACTCACCTCATAGACTCTTGAAAGGTATTAAATCATAATGCAAAATAATGAACCAAATGAGGAGGCTGGAGCTAGGTATTGAGGAACCTATCTCACCTCTCCTAGTAGATCAAGGGCAATTCACTTTGGTCTGTGGATTTCCCTCTGGGGACCCTGTGAGTTCCTGAAATCATCTGCAATATTCTGTTTGTGAAAGTATTTTTCTAGAAGTCTGCACTTTTTGTCAGATTTTGTAAGGGGTTTATGATCTCTAAAAGGTTAATTATTCTGGATTGTGAACTTCTTGGGAATAGGGACCTAGTCTTTCTCTCCATATCTCATAAGCACATAGCACAGGGACCCTGTACAATGTTTAATAAATAGTGGACAAATGACTGGATAAACAGAGTCACTTGAGGTCATTCCTTCTCGATAACTGAGTTGGTTTAGAATTGCTTAAGCCTAAGGATTTTTAGATCAAGGGGGAACTCTTCTATTTCTGCTGTTACATACATATTGTTATGTATGAAAACTGCTCAAACTGGAAGATGTAGAACTCCACATTTATCCTATTATGCATGAGACCCTGTTTACTTGTTAGGAAGATGTTAGAGGCACTGTTTGTTTCCAAACTTCGAGCATCTCCGCTCAGCTGATGGTTTCTTCTTATGTTCCCATCAACTCTGCATACTCTGACAGGAACTTAGTTGGCTTAGCTCAGAAGGGATGGAAGGAAAACGTGGTGTCTAGAAGATTATCATGTAACTCTCTTTGCATGGCCAAGGCCAATCTTGAGAGACCCAAATACTGAAGAAGTAATGGCTCTAACCAATTGAATTTTTGTAACCAGAAAAACTTTGTTTTACCTTTTGTCAAAAGTCTATTTTAACATTCTCAGATCCGTTAGTGAATAGAGTGTTAATATATTCAGTGTTTATGGATGAACAGATTATTAGAAGAATCAGTCTATGTGGATGTGCAGTCAGTGTAGGTGTATGGGCTGATTGTGTACTGTTATATGGTCAAAACTCAGAACTTTTGTTGTTTAGCTTTTGCTGAGAGTGTGGGTGAGGTAGGAGGGTGGGCAGATGGAGAGAGGAAGGGAGGAAGAGGAGAGAGAGACAGCACGTGATGGCTGTCCAGGGGAGTTGATTGTGGGATCCAGTTATTTGAGAGCCTCTGAAGTTTTGGCACACAGGATGGGCCTGGTTATACTGTGATGGGGTTTAGTCCTCTCGTAAACCTGAGTGCTTCAGTGCTGCTAGCCACAGCGAAGGCCTTTACAGAACTGTAGTCAGCATGGTTGAGTGTGTGACTTTCCCACTTTCACTTGCCCATCAGAGACTGACACTGGGACAGTCTGAATTCCATGCAGCCAGATATGATTGGAAACCAAAGGGGGTGTCAAGGCAAGTGTTGAAGGAACTCTGCCTTGAGATACTTCTCTTTTTCCTCAGTGAGCAGAAGGACTCCTCAGTTGAGCTCTTTTGGCAGGATAATGCTTATAGCTCTTCAAGAAAAAGCATGCAAACTTCGAGTGAAAAACTTTGGAAGCTGGTGGGAGAGGGAGGAATGGACACAGGCATGGGATCATTAGTGTCTGAGAAGTGACACAGGGCCCTCCGGCCTCCTGCTCAGCCTAGCAGCTTCCATTCCCAACCTCTATTCATACACATGCACACATAGGACCCCACCAGAATTTCTGGATCCTAAGGATTCACTTTAGGGACCTTCGTCTTTGCCTCTGGAATTTCTTGCCTGTTGAAATTTCATATACCAAGCCATTTTTTTTGTTTTTTCACCCAGGGAGAGGTTGGGTATGCTGTTGATGAGAAGATGCAGGTAGATAAAAGTAGTTACTTAAACACATATGGGGTGAGACTTACAGGTTTGGAGACCCAGATTAAGATGCAGAGGAGCATGTGAGGTTGATGATTATATTTCGGGGAGAGTTAATTGATGGAAGGTGAAGGCAGACAAAGAACCGCTGCTTACTGCCTTCTTGAATCCCAATCAGGAATTATGATTAAAGTCGCAGCGAGACAACAGAGGGCTGATGAATTGGTGTCTTTTTTTTTTTTTTTTTCCTTTTTTGCCGTCATTCACACTTGATTGACTTCAACCTTTCAAGTGCAAAAGTCTCTCTTTTCCATTATTATTCATAGCCATCTGAGTTTTTCTAATTAAAGTGTATGAAAACAATTACTGATCCGTCGTACTGAGTCTGTTAGAGGGGATGTCTGCCTTACTGTAATGCGTATAAAAAGCCCACAGTTTTCTATAATGATGTGCAGCTGAGGTGTTAGATAATTTTATTCTTTTTTACTCTGTAGGGCTTTTTTTTTTTTATTTCTCGTGATTCATTTTTCATAATTCCTAAAGATCCCAGGAAAGGACTGATCCTGCAGCTACAACCGAGAAAGGAGGTGGGGGGGAGTCTTTTTTCCTTTCCCTTTCTCCCCTTCTTACCCCCAACCTCGTGCTCCCCCTCGGCTGAGGACTATAAATTAATCGGTGACCTTTCACTTCTTGGATTCCCGCTGGACTCCCCAATCACACTGGTCAGAAATGCTTTCTATTAAAAAGGAAATAGATGGAATGAGTTTGGCAATCTCCACTCCGTTCCTGACGATTCATCAACAGCCAGCCTTAACCAGCTGCCGACGAGCTATGTGTGAGGTGCAGATGTTTGTGAGAGCAGCAGTGCTAAATCACACACATTCACCTGCCATGCACCTGCTCTTCTTAAACATGGGCTTTCTCCAAACCCTTCTCTGTAGTGCCTGTTGCTTAATTTTTGCACCTATTGGCATCTGGATTGCTGAAATTACTCTAATTCCCCTAAATGTGATGGGGAGTTATCTTTTTTGGTGTCGATGGGGGCAGTTATCTGGGTTTCCTCTAGTTGTTGAGCCAATTGCTGATAATTCTAGTGAACATGTCAGCAGCTATTTTGAGCAAGGCCGGGATCTTCAAACATTAAAAATAAATAGTAATTAATTTAAAACATAAGCTAATTTTGAACAGAAGTCTAGGTGGTCCAGTCTTGGCAACAGAAAGTGAAGATATTGGTGTTTGTTGGGAAAATAATACCTACAAGTGGGGCTGGGTGCCGTGTAAAAAGGTTAGTGGTGACTGCAGATTCTGTTCCTGTAATGTCTAAGTCAGTCCATTTCTTGGGCTGTCATCAAATGGGAGACAATTTGTAATTCAATTGGAAATATCACTGCCACCTAATCTTCCTACCCCAAAGCAGGCAAAGGGATATTGCTTCTTTTTAAACAAAGAACCTTTCATCCTTACATTGGATATTGAGGGCTGCTTATCACATTAACATAGGGCACATGATAACTTGTTTGGACAAGCTTCTGGCCATATGGCAAGGAGGCCTAGAGAAATGTCTGAGGATCTGACCTAAAATTGTTGCTATTTGGATTCAGACTAATTCTGAATTGCTATATTAGGGAACAATAGGCATGGGCAAGGTGGGGGTACCCTGTTGCAGAATGCTGTGCAGGCCACCCTTTATTGCTGGGACACTGGCCAAAGGTTCCCCCTGATGTTTTATACCTTGGACAAAGACTGCAGAAGAAATTCTGACTTAAGTGAGTCACAAGAAATGCTTGTTTGCACTTGATATCAGCTTGTAAAGGGTTACAAAATGTTGTTTCCTGGAAAATCTGCCAGCGTGTCTGCGTGTCCTTAGCCGTCCCTTTGTTCTCTTCTCTACTTCTTACCCTTTCCTTCACTCTTACTCCCCTCCTCTTCTTGCCTGAATACATTTTGAAAACAGTACTACAATGCTCCCTGCTTCAAGATTACAGTGTACTTTACTAGGTATGATTTAATTAGGGCCCTTATTATGTTTTCAGCAGCTTAAGGTGGGCCTTTCAACTTATCTACCTAATTGGTTGCACAAGAAGTTTCACAGCCCATGACAAAACATTGTCAGTGATCAAAGTCAAAATTCTGCATAAAGGAAAAATATTAATAACAAGATTATTCTTCAAGTGTGCACTGCTAATTATGTCCAGAATGTAACCGTAGAAACACTTTTGACTGATGTGAGCTTTGTCTAATAAACATGAATCTTCAGTGAGCTATGAAAAGTGACACCTTCAGCTTTCCACTGGTGAAGGCTAATTTTGCTTATTAAATAATTTTTAAACATTTCCTATTCTGTGTCTCTTTCCTCTCCATTTGACTCTCCTTGCTTCTCTGCCTCCCGCTCCTCAGGTGACCACCCCTGAGATGGTGATGCCCAGCAGCATGTTCCTCCCTGCAGCTGTTCCAGATCGAGAAGGGAATTCCAATTTGGAAGAGGCAGGAAAGCAGCCTGGTTAGTATCATTATTCTTGGCCCCTAAGAATTGAAAAATAGATGAAATCTTGGGCCAAAATTTTCATGGGACAAGGCTTCCCAGAATTCTTTACAGTACTCCTAAGCTGAATGTCACTACCAGGAGATGAGGGACACTGTCATCAGCTGCTTTATACTCTGGTTCTTGGCATGTATTTGTATATGAAAATCAGTTTGAGAACCAGTGGAATTTTGGTATGGACACAGTCCCCTTAGACTATATATTTAGGGAGTGAATAAGAAGAGACTCAGTAGCTTCTAGACTTACTGTCCTATGCCATTAAACACTGCATCTCTGAGGACTTAATTATTAGGGACTCATGGAACATGTGGGTTGATTTTGGGGGCACTGGATTAGTTGTCTTTCTAGGAGCTGCCTCTGCACAGAGTTCTTCTCTTAGTCTTCTGGGATTGCCTTAGTATAGAGGTACTTTTGGGCAGAACATTGTTGTAGACATGTGTGCTGTGGTTGTGGGTGCCGCACAGTGGCTCCTACCTAGATGGTTCATTAGACCTCAGCTTGTGAGGCTGTCCTACATCTTTCACCTCTTATAAGCACCTAAGATTAAGTTGGGAAGAGTTCAACCACACTAATGCCCTTGTCATTTTCCATGTGAGGCAGTGGACAGATGATCTGAAAGAGAGTCAGAGTATTTATGGATGTGAAGATCTCATTGTAGAAAAAAAATGTAATGTGTTTTAATAATTGGCCACTTGAATGTTCATTGCTTATTGTGTAGAGATGACAGTCAAAAGTCACATTGTAATAAGAAATTAAATACGTAAAGAAAATTCCAGAATTTCTTATATTACAATGGACAGCAAGCAGTTCTCATAAATGTCCCACAACTTAGGATAGCATTAATTCGCATATTCTACAATTTAGATCCACTGTGCTAAATTCTTATTACATAAAAGGGAATCCAGTCTAAGATCAGTAACCTTCAAACCAGTTCTTGAGAAATTGAAGATTCGGAGTCAAGCAATTAAATACTATTTAAAAGACTGTTGGGTCTGTGATACAGCATGGCCTGTTACAAATTGAAATTTTTTATTTCCTTTTACTCATCTCTGTTCATGTGCATCCTGTTTATAATATGTACTCTATTGGGAAGAAAGAAAGCAGGGGGCTGGGCAGAGAGGCTCTGTCATTCAGGTCAGGCATTTCCCTCATCATCAGGTTCTGTGTTCGTGACACCTGGCCAGGTTAGACCACTCTGGGTGCCATCCTTGAAACAAAGCCTTCTTTATCTTTGGGCTTGATGTCCTTCGTTTTGTTTTGTTTTTACAGAAACCTCAGAGGATCTGGGAAAGAACATCTTGCCATCTGCGAGCACAGAGCATAGTGGAGATTTGAAACCCTCTCTTGCTGAACCGGGCTCTGTGAGAGAAGACTCAGGCTTTCTCTGCTGGAAGAAGGGCTGCAACCAGATTTTCAAAACTTCTGCTGCCCTTCAGACGCACTTCAACGAGGTGCATGCCAAGAGGCCTCAGCTGCCCGTGTCGGATCGCCACGTGTACAAGTACCGCTGTAATCAGTGCAGCTTGGCTTTCAAGACCATTGAAAAGTTGCAGCTCCATTCTCAGTACCACGTGATCAGAGCTGCCACCATGTGCTGTCTTTGTCAGCGCAGCTTCCGAACTTTCCAGGCTCTGAAAAAACACCTCGAGACAAGCCACCTGGAGTTGAGTGAGGCCGACATCCAGCAGCTTTATGGTGGCCTTCTGGCCAATGGGGACCTCCTGGCAATGGGAGACCCCACCCTGGCTGAGGACCACACCATAATCGTAGAGGAAGACAAGGAGGAAGAGAGTGACTTGGAAGATAAACAGAGTCCAACAGGCAGTGACTCTGGGTCAGTACAAGAGGACTCGGGCTCAGAGCCAAAGAGAGCTCTACCTTTCAGAAAAGGCCCCAATTTTACCATGGAAAAATTTCTAGACCCTTCTCGCCCTTACAAGTGTACCGTCTGCAAGGAATCTTTCACTCAAAAGAATATCCTGCTAGTGCACTACAATTCTGTCTCCCACCTGCATAAGTTGAAGAGAGCCCTTCAGGAATCGGCAACTGGTCAGCCAGAACCCACCAGCAGCCCAGACAACAAACCTTTTAAGTGTAACACTTGTAATGTGGCCTATAGCCAGAGTTCCACTCTGGAGATCCACATGAGGTCTGTGCTGCATCAAACCAAGGCCCGGGCAGCCAAGCTGGAGGCTGCAAGTGGCAGTGGCAATGGGACTGGAAACAGCAGCAGTGTCTCCCAGAGTTCCTCTACACCAAGTCCTGTGAGCACCAGTGGCAGTAACACTTTTACCACCACCAATCCAAGCAGTGCCAGCATCACTCCGAGCTCCAACTTGCTGAGCCAAGTGCCCAGTGAAAGTGTGGGAATGCCACCCCTGGGGAATCCCATCAGTGCTAACATTGCTTCTCCTTCAGAGCCCAAGGAGGCCAATCGGAAGAAGCTGGCAGATATGATTACATCCAGGCAGCAGCAGCAGCAGCAACAGCAGCAGCAGCAGCAGCAGCAGCAGCAGCAACAGCAACAAGCTCAGACACTGGCCCAGGCCCAGGCTCAAGTTCAAGCTCACTTGCAGCAGGAGCTGCAGCAGCAGGCTGCCCTGATCCAGTCTCAGCTGTTTAACCCCACGCTCCTCCCTCACTTCCCCATGACCACTGAGGCCCTGCTGCAGCTGCAGCAGCAGCAGCACCTCCTCTTCCCTTTCTACATCCCCAGTGCTGAGTTCCAGCTCAACCCCGAGGTGAGTTTGCCAGTGACGAGTGGGGCGCTGACGCTGACTGGGACAGGCCCGGGCCTGCTGGAAGATCTGAAGGCTCAGGTTCAGATCCCACAGCAGAGCCACCAGCAGATCCTACAGCAGCAGCAGCAGCAGCAGCAGCAGCAGCAAAGCCAACTCTCTCTGTCCCAAAGTCACTCTGCCCTCCTTCAACCAAGCCAGCACCCCGAAAAGAAAAACAAATTGGTCATCAAAGAAAAGGAAAAAGAAAGCCAGAGAGAGAAGGACGGTACTGAGGGGGGAGAAGGCAATGCGGGACTGAAGGAATCGCTGCCAGATGCCTTGAAGGCCAAAGAGAAGAAAGAGCTGGCATCCGGGAGTAGTTCGGAGTCTTCCATGCTTCCTCCACGCATCGCCTCGGATGCCAGAGGGAATGCCACCAAGGCCTTGCTGGAGAATTTTGGCTTTGAGCTGGTCATTCAGTACAATGAGAACAAGCAGAAGGTGCAGAAGAAGAACGGGAAGACGGAGCAGGGAGAGAACGTGGAAAAACTCGAGTGCGACTCCTGTGGCAAGTTGTTTTCCAACATATTGATTTTAAAGAGCCATCAGGAGCATGTACATCAGAATTACTTTCCCTTTAAACAGCTCGAGAGGTTTGCCAAACAGTACAGAGAGCACTATGATAAACTGTACCCCCTGAGGCCCCAGACCCCGGAGCCACCTCCACCGCCCCCTCCCCCTCCCCCACCGCCGCTCCCTGCAGCACCGCCGCAGCCCGCTTCCACGCCAGCCATTCCTGCATCAGCGCCCGCCATCACCTCACCCACGATTGCCCCAGCCCAGCCATCTGTGCCACTCACGCAGCTCTCCATGCCAATGGAGCTACCCATCTTCTCACCACTGATGATGCAGACAATGCCACTGCAGACCTTGCCAGCCCAGCTGCCCCCCCAGCTTGGGCCTGTAGAGCCTCTGCCTGCAGACCTGGCCCAGCTGTACCAGCATCAGCTCAATCCGACCCTGCTCCAGCAGCAGAACAAGAGGCCTCGCACCAGGATCACAGATGACCAGCTCCGAGTTCTGCGGCAATATTTTGACATTAACAACTCCCCCAGTGAAGAGCAGATCAAGGAGATGGCAGACAAGTCTGGGTTGCCCCAGAAAGTGATCAAGCACTGGTTCAGGAACACTCTCTTTAAAGAGCGGCAACGTAACAAGGACTCCCCTTACAACTTCAGCAACCCTCCCATCACCAGCCTGGAGGAGCTCAAGATCGATTCCCGGCCCCCTTCCCCGGAACCTCAGAAGCAAGAGTACTGGGGAAGCAAGAGGTCTTCCAGAACAAGGTTTACTGACTACCAGCTGAGGGTCCTACAGGACTTCTTTGATGCCAATGCTTACCCAAAGGATGATGAATTTGAGCAGCTCTCTAATTTACTGAATCTTCCAACCCGAGTTATAGTGGTGTGGTTTCAGAATGCCCGACAGAAGGCCAGGAAAAATTACGAGAATCAAGGAGAGGGCAAAGACGGAGAGCGGCGTGAGCTTACAAATGATAGATATATTCGAACGAGCAACTTGAACTACCAGTGCAAAAAATGTAGCCTGGTGTTTCAGCGCATCTTTGATCTCATCAAGCACCAGAAGAAGCTGTGCTACAAGGATGAGGATGAGGAGGGGCAGGATGACAGCCAAAATGAGGATTCCATGGATGCCATGGAGATCCTGACACCCACCAGCTCCTCCTGCAGCACCCCCATGCCCTCCCAGGCTTACAGTACCCCAGCAGCATGTGCCAGTACGGCCTCCTCCGCCTTCTTGCAGCTCACAGCGGAGGCTGACGAACTGGCCTCCTTCAGTTCAAAGACAGAGGCGAGTGATGAGAAACCAAAGCAGGCTGATATTCCCGGTGCACCGCCCAACCAAACCCATGAAAAGCAAGGACAACCAAAGGCAGAGCTGCAGCAGCAAGACCAGCTAGAGCAGAAGACAAACGCACCCCAGCAAAAGCTCCCCCAGCTGGCTTCCCCGCCTTCGTTACCACAGCCGCCTCCACAAGCGCCACCCCCTCAGTGCCCCTTACCCCAGTCGAGCCCCAGTCCTTCCCAGCTCTCCCACCTGCCTCTCAAGCCCCTCCACACGTCAACTCCTCAACAGTTGGCAAACCTACCTCCTCAGCTAATCCCCTACCAGTGTGACCAGTGTAAATTGGCGTTTCCATCATTTGAGCACTGGCAGGAGCATCAGCAGCTTCACTTCCTGAGTGCACAAAACCAGTTCATCCATCCCCAGTTTTTGGACAGGTCACTGGATATGCCTTTCATGCTGTTTGATCCTAGTAACCCACTCCTGGCCAGCCAGCTGCTCTCTGGGGCCATACCTCAGATTCCAGTGAGCTCAGCCACTTCTCCTTCAACTCCAACCTCCACCATGAACACTCTAAAGAGGAAGCTGGAGGAAAAAGCCAGTGCCAGCCCTGGTGAAAATGACAGTGGGACAGGAGGGGAAGAACCTCAGAGAGATAAGCGTTTGAGGACAACTATAACACCAGAACAGCTAGAAATTCTCTACCAAAAGTATCTACTGGACTCTAATCCAACTCGAAAGATGTTGGATCACATTGCACATGAGGTGGGCCTGAAGAAACGTGTGGTGCAAGTCTGGTTTCAGAATACCCGAGCTCGGGAAAGGAAAGGACAGTTCCGGGCTGTGGGCCCAGCCCAGGCCCACAGGAGATGCCCATTTTGCAGAGCACTCTTCAAAGCCAAGACTGCCCTCGAGGCTCATATCCGGTCCCGGCACTGGCATGAAGCCAAGAGAGCTGGCTACAACCTGACCCTGTCTGCGATGCTCTTAGACTGTGATGGGGGACTCCAGATGAAAGGAGATATTTTTGATGGAAATAGCTTTTCCCACCTACCCCCAAGCACTAGTGATGGTCAGGGTGTCCCTCTCTCCCCTGTGAGTAAAACTATGGAGTTGTCTCCCAGAACTCTACTTAGCCCTTCCTCCATTAAGGTAGAAGGGATTGAAGACTTTGAAAGCCCCTCCATGTCCTCAGTTAATCTAAACTTTGACCAAACTAAGCTGGACAATGATGACTGTTCCTCTGTCAACACAGCAATCACAGATACCACAACTGGAGACGAGGGCAATGCAGATAATGACAGTGCAACAGGAATAGCAACTGAAACCAAATCCTCTTCTGCGCCCAATGAGGGGTTGACCAAAGCGGCCATGATGGCAATGTCCGAGTATGAAGATCGGTTGTCATCTGGTCTGGTCAGCCCAGCCCCAAGCTATTATAGCAAGGAATATGACAATGAAGGTACAGTGGACTACAGTGAAACCTCAAGCCTTGCAGATCCCTGTTCCCCAAGTCCTGGTGCGAGTGGGTCTGCAGGCAAATCTGGTGACAGCGGGGATCGGCCTGGGCAGAAACGTTTTCGCACTCAGATGACCAATCTGCAGCTGAAGGTCCTCAAGTCATGCTTTAATGACTACAGGACACCCACTATGCTAGAGTGTGAGGTCCTGGGTAATGACATTGGACTGCCAAAGAGAGTCGTTCAGGTCTGGTTCCAGAATGCCCGGGCAAAAGAAAAGAAGTCCAAGTTAAGCATGGCCAAGCATTTTGGTATAAACCAAACGAGTTACGAGGGACCCAAAACAGAGTGCACTTTGTGTGGCATCAAGTACAGCGCTCGGCTGTCTGTACGTGACCATATCTTTTCCCAACAGCATATCTCCAAAGTTAAAGACACCATTGGAAGTCAGCTGGACAAAGAGAAAGAATACTTTGACCCAGCCACTGTACGACAGTTGATGGCTCAACAAGAGTTGGACCGGATTAAAAAAGCCAATGAGGTCCTTGGACTGGCAGCTCAGCAGCAGGGGATGTTTGAAAATGCCCCTCTTCAGGCTCTTAACCTCCCTACGGCATACCCAGCGCTCCAGGGCATTCCTCCCGTGTTGCTCCCCGGCCTCAACAGCCCCTCCTTGCCAGGCTTTACTCCATCCAACACAGGTGGGTTCTGCTCTAGGTGATTCTTTTCAGCATTAAATAGCTGCCCAGTTAGCATTTTGTTATGTGGCTAACCAACCAAACCCTCTGAGTGCAGGCAAGTAGGAAGTTCCCTTTCTAGTTCTCTGAAAGCAATACAACTTCAGTTCCCTTCTATTAGTCTCCCTCATGCCAGTGTGTACATGGGACTTTGCCTTTCTAGTTCAGGGATGGGACCTCCTGGTTGGAACAGTCTCCTCTGAAACAACTCCTGTGCCCTGTGTTCAGTAGTATAAACAGGGTGTGAGCTGTAGTGAAGAATCTGGCATATTCCTAGGGAATTTTCAAGAAAGAAATTTCTATCATAGACCCTTTCATTCAGTCCTCATGGAAATGCCATCCCATCTAGGTATTTGTTGCAAATATAAGACACCTGAATGTCCTAGCTAATTCTGGATCATGCCCTAGGGAAACTGGTCCAAGAAAATTTAAATTGGCTCTTTGCCCTCACCTGGGGTCCTTACCTTCTTTTTTAGAGAGAGCTACTGTGGCAGGAGAACAGCTGTCAGGAAGAAGCTGTTATGTGGTGGATCCTTACTCCTGGGGTTCTCTTCTAGCCCAAACAGTGGCTCTATTAGTTTCTAATGAGACTCTCTTAATGCACTGACCAGGGATCTTGTATTGGGCGATGCAGTTTTTAGTTTTGATATGTTTGTGTTAGTCCTCTGGACGAAAATATTAATGCATTTAGGGGTCCTTCATCATCCCTTCATATCCTTTTTTCCCATATCCCTTTCCTCCTTCCTGCCCGTTCAGAATCAAAAGTACTTGATGCTCTTCTGTTCTCACTGACTAGGGAGTTTTGCGGTTCTTCCTCTGTATCTCTCTTGCTTCTCCTCCTCTGTCCTCACCTATTTTCTCTGGATCCTACTGTCTTAAGTTGGACCTTCACCTCCAGGGTCTTCTGAGGCTTAGGCACAAGTCAGAAAGTTCCCCCCAGAATGGCCCGCACTGACCAGTATCCGTTTACCAAAGGAGAGTCCCTCAGAGTGCCTCTTTGCCTTCAAAACATGCCCCTGTTCCCCAGGGCTAAAGTGGTTCTGCTGCTTCCCAGAGAAGTCCTAGTTCCTGGTTGAACTAATTCCAGGTTGCACAGTTTTGGCAGTGTTTTACAGAACATGAGGCTACTACATTCCTATTCCCAGTTTCTTATCCAAAGAGAACAAGAAAAAAAAGCATAAGCAACAATTTCTATGTCTTAATATGTGCTGGCAAGTAATGTCCCAGAATGATACTAAAGCCAACTAGATATAAGCCAGGAAACAAGCTATATAGAAAGTGGCCAGGCACCAAATTATCCTTGCAGCCCGGAACCTTGGCAGAGGGGCTTGAAAAGGCCCAACGTTTCATAATAATGTGAAAAAAGTAGAATCAGAATGTCTGATCTATTCCCCTTGTTTTACAGATGAGAAAACTGAGGCCCAGAGAGGTCAAGACCATTCAGCAAGCTAGGGTAGGAGCCAGAGCTCCCACCCAGGCCTCCGGGCTCCCAGTGCTATGTGCTCCTTCCACAACACCCAATATGAGCCAGTCAGTCAAAAGGTATATGTTTAGTGCTGCTCAGGTTCTGACCACTTAGAGTGGATTCGAGATAGAAAGATATGCTCTCAATATTCAAGCCAGCCAGACGTGCCCAGTTATCATCACCTGACTGTACCACAGCTCTCAAGAGCACTGGATCTGGAATGGGAGGGAAGGAACTTGTGTTTATTAAGCATCTATTATATGTTAGGCCTAATGCTCAGCTCTTTTCATATGGCCTTTCATTTAATCCCTACAACCATCTATTGTGGAAAGCTGAGTTTCCAAGAGATCGATTAATGGGCCCAAGGTCACATGTCTGATGTGTGTCAGCTGTGATCCACGTAGGGTCAGTCCGACTCCAGAGGTGCATGACTAAGTCTCGGGGGGATGAAGTACCTTGCTCAGTTCTGATCTTACAGATTAGGAAACCAGTGTCACTGAATTATGAGAGCGTATTGAGTGTGGCTAGTGTGGAGCTTGGTAAATAGCAGGGGTTCAGTAAATGTTTCTTAAAATTTAAATCTCTTTTGTAGACCATCGGTTGCAGATACACAAAGTCAGTTTAAGCCCTTCTGACCTGAATATTTCTCCTAAAATTCAGAGGCCATGGGGCTGGGGAGATCTCTAGACATTCCTTCCTTGCCCCACTGATCTTTTGTCTCTGGCCCCAAACCTAAAATTTGGAGCAAGCCTATTGTCTAGTGGTTGACAGAGCCATGTCCTACACTTAGAATTCATAATCCACTCTGTCTCTGCCTTATTGTGCCAATTTAGCCAACAAGGCTTTACTGAGTTTTTTCTGAATAGAGTCAGTCACATCTCCTCTGATGTCAGTCTCTTATGTACAGTGAGGAAATTGGATGACTTAATGTCAGTGGTCCCTTTCTGCTGTTTTGGAAGAGTAAATTATGTGATGATGAGGGAAGCTTGCTTCTTAGCTATCCGGTGTTAATGGATGTTTTTCTGGGATTTGCAACTTGAAGCAGCCTTGTTATTTTCATCTGAAATGTGAGGGTTTTGACAGTCCAGTGAATACTATACCACTGTAGCCAGAAATCAACATCATCCTCACCCAGGTCTGGGCTTCAGAGTGTTTTTTTCTCATGAAGACAGTGTCATGCTATGAAACGCCTACCCTAGCTTTCTGGCAAAAAAGGTGGTCCAGATAAAATATTGAGGGTCTGTAGGATTTTTTGATATTACATTTTAGTGTCCTCTGAAGTGAAGGGATGTATTTACTGTCTGGTTTCTTGGATGTGTGAATGTAGAGGTGTTTCAAGACCTGTTGCCTCTGCACTTTTCCTGATTCCTGTCTTTTCTAAGCATTTCGTCATCCAGCATGCTCTACAAACGCCCCTTCCCTCACCCCCTACCCCCGCTGTCCCTGCTAGTCTCAGCACACCTGAAGATAAGTGTACAGCAGTACCCTCTTCCATTACCCTGGAATAGAAGACTCAAACCAGGAGGTAGCTGTGGGTCAGGGAGGATGTTAGGCTACGGGTGGGTGAAAGTTTTGGAGGTAGTGGTAGATTAGCACTCAGTATGATCAAGGATGGGCCTGGTGACACAGAGACTTTTGCTACGCATAAGCATTGGTGCCTGGGGTGGGTAGTGATGTCTTGGGAGTTGATGGTGTCAGCACCTCGGGCTGTTCTATTTCTGGTACTGCTTTTCTTCTCTTCCCACAGCTGGGTTCTCACTTGAGAACCTGCAGCCCCACTGGCCCTCCTCTATATCATTCAGACAGGGGCAGGAGGACAAGGTGGTCATTTCTCCAGCAGACTCCAGAATCCTATTTCCAGATGGTTGCATTTTTCAACAGACTTGTTGAAGCAGTTCAGCTAGGCCAAGGCACTGGAGCAGTTTTCCCTAAACGAATTGTTTTTATTTCTTCTCAGGCCCTTCCTCCACACTCTGCCATTCATCCTCTTATCTCTGCCCTCCTAAAGCATCCATTCAGCTGCAGCCAGGTCAGAGAGGAGGAACATGTGTAGAGTCCATTTCGTGTGTTCATGTTGCCTTGTGGCCTTGCCAGGTTTCTTGCTTTCACTCTTCTGTTGCCTCTCTGCTCCAGACAACTTCCGGTGGGGCCTCATGGCTGCACTATTTCTGTGGAGCTTTGATGAAGGCCTTTGGTTCAGATGGGTCCCAGCTGGAAATAGCTGGTTTGGGATTCTCCAGACTAATTGCACTGGGCAAGTGGAGGGTAGCTAGCAGTGCATGGCAAAGAAAATGCGGACCAGTGGGTGTAGCGCATTGGGCAGGAAGGTGTTGGAGGTGGTCTAGCTGAATGAGGAGGGGTGGGAGCTGACCCAGGCCTGGGCTGTGACTAGCATACAAAGCCATCCACCCCTGAGCCTAGCAGGGTACTTCTGTTGAAAACGTTGGTTTTGAGAGGATCCTTCAAGTTTAAGCCTCAGTATCTCAGACTTTGTGCCAATGACACAGGTAAAGTGTGTTGAGCTTCAGTCTGACCACCCCAGACTGACCCATGGTTCTCTTTCTGTCTCCATTCCTTTCAGCTTTAACGTCTCCGAAGCCGAACCTGATGGGTCTGCCCAGCACAACAGTTCCTTCCCCTGGCCTCCCCACATCTGGATTACCAAATAAACCATCCTCAGCGTCGCTGAGCTCCCCAACCCCAGCACAAGCCACCATGGTGATGGCCCCTCAGCAGCCCCCCCAACCCCAGCAGCAGCCACAGGTGCAGCAGCCGCCCACTCTGCCAGCAGTCCAGCCACCACCCACAACTCAGCTCCCACCACAACAGCAGCAGCAACGCAAGGACAAAGACAGTGAGAAAGTAAAGGAGAAGGAAAAGGTACACAAAGGGAAAGGGGAACCCTTGCCAGTCCCTAAGAAGGAGAAAGGAGAGGCCCCCCCGACAGCTGCGGCCACGATCTCAGCCCCGCTGCCAGCAATGGAGTATGCAGTGGACCCTGCTCAGCTGCAGGCCCTGCAGGCAGCCTTGACTTCGGACCCCACCGCGTTGCTCACGAGCCAGTTCCTTCCTTACTTTGTACCAGGCTTTTCTCCTTACTATGCCCCCCAGATCCCTGGCGCCCTGCAGAGCGGGTACCTGCAGCCTATGTATGGCATGGAAGGCCTGTTCCCCTACAGCCCTGCGCTGTCGCAGGCCCTGATGGGGCTGTCTCCGGGCTCCCTACTGCAGCAGTACCAGCAATACCAGCAGAGTCTGCAGGAGGCGATCCAGCAGCAGCAGCAGCGGCAACTGCATCAGCAGCAGCAGCAGCAGAAACTGCAGCCGCAGCAGCAGCCGCCGCCACTGCCCAAAGCAAGCCAAACCCCAGTCCCCCAGGGGGCTGCTTCCCCAGACAAAGACCCTGCCAAAGAATCCCCCAAACCAGAAGAGCAGAAAAACGCCCCCCGTGAGGTATCCCCCCTCCTGCCGAAACCCCCCGAAGAGCCAGAAGCAGAAAGCAAAAGTGCGGACTCCCTCTCCGACCCCTTCATTGTTCCAAAGGTGCAGTACAAGTTGGTCTGCCGCAAGTGCCAGGCGGGCTTCGGCGATGAGGAGGCGGCCAGGAGCCACCTGAAGTCCCTCTGCTTCTTCGGCCAGTCTGTGGTGAACCTGCAAGAGATGGTGCTTCACGTCCCCACGGGCGGCGGTGGTGGCGGCGGTGGTGGCGGTGGCAGCGGCGGCGGCGGCTCGTACCACTGCCTGGCGTGCGAGAGCGCGCTCTGTGGGGAGGAAGCTCTGAGTCAACATCTCGAGTCGGCCTTGCACAAACACAGAACAATCACGAGAGCAGCAAGAAACGCCAAAGAGCACCCTAGTTTATTACCTCACTCTGCCTGCTTCCCCGATCCTAGCACCGCATCTACCTCGCAGTCTGCCGCTCACTCAAACGACAGCCCCCCTCCCCCGTCGGCCGCCGCCCCCTCCTCGTCCTCCGCTGCCCCCCACGTCTCCAGGAAGTCTTGGCCGCAAGTGGTCTCCCGGGCTTCGGCCGCGAAGCCCCCTTCTTTTCCTCCTCTCTCCTCATCTTCAACGGTTACCTCAAGTTCATGCAGCACCTCAGGGGTTCAGCCCTCGATGCCAACAGACGACTATTCGGAGGAGTCTGACACGGATCTCAGCCAAAAGTCCGACGGACCGGCGAGCCCGGTGGAGGGTCCCAAAGACCCCAGCTGCCCCAAGGACAGTGGTCTGACCAGTGTAGGAACGGACACCTTCAGATTGTAAGCTTTGAAGATGAACAATACAAACAAATGAGTTTAAATAAAAATAACAAACCAATTTCAAAAATAGACTAACTGCAATTCCAAAGCTTCTAACAAAAAAAAAAAAAAAAAAAAAAAAAAAAAAAGAAGAAGAAAAAAAAAAATAGAAAAACGTGGGTTGTTTTCCCATATACCTATCTATGCCGGTGATTTTACATTGTCTTTTCTTTTTTCTTTTAATATTTAAAAAACAAAAAAACAAACAAAAAAAACCCCTCACCCTGCTACATTGTGTCCTTTTGAAGGTACTATTGGTCTGGGAAACAGAAGTCCGCAGGGCCTCCCTAATGTCTTTGGAGCTTAAACCCCTTGTATATTTGCCCCTTTTCAATAAACGCCCCACATTGATAGCACAGCGGAGCCCGGCATGCACTGTATGGGAAAGCAGTCCACCTTGTTACAGTTTTAAATTTCTTGCTATCTTAGCATTCAGATACCAATGGCTTGCTAAAAGAAAAAAAGAAATGTAATGTCTTTTTATTCTCAGGTCAATCGCTCACACTTTGTTCTGTTTTCAGAATCATTTTATATATATATTATTTTTTCAGTTTTTTGTTTTGTTTTGTTTTGTTTTTTGGTTTTGGGGGGGGTTTTTTGTTCCAGAAAAGATTTTTTTGTTAATTTAAAAACGGGCAGAAAGTTCGAGAAAAACAATGTGAACTGCTTTAGCTTTCTGGGGATTTTTAAGGATAGCTTTTCTGCTGAAGCCAATTTCAAGGGGAAAAGTTAAGCACTCCCACTTTCAGAAAAATAACCCACACACACAAAGAGTGTTGAGGACTTGTAGCTTAAAAAAAAAGTTTTAAAAACTGACTTTCTGTATTTATGATAGATATGACCATTTTGGTGTTGAGTAGATTGTTGCATTGGAAATGAACTGAAGCAGTATGGTAGATTTAAAAGGAAAAAAAAAAAAAACCTTTTGTGTACATTTAGCTTTTTGTATGGTCCAGCTGACAGCTCCTCATTTGATGTTGTCTTGTTCATTCCTAGCAGATAGATTGCAATCCGTTGATTCACCTAAGCTTTTCTCCCTTGTCCCTTAATTCCACTTTCTCTTTCCTTCTCCCACCTCCCATCCTATAATCTCCCACTTAAGGTAGCTGCCTTCATTTCTTAGAGGGTAGTTACAGAATTATTTTATGAAACTAAAGAAAGAATTTCAAGGGATTCTAGGGGTCATTAGGATCCTCACAGATTATTTTTGGTTGGGGAGTTGAAACTTTTTAAAGGCATATAATTCTAGTTACCTGTCTGTTAGCCTTGTGCATTTATTTTTTATTTATCCTTCTTTTGGCTTTTCTTCATACTCCTCCTTTTCCTCCTCGTTTGGTAGATCCTTCAAATATTCTTTTCCTGAACGAAAGCATTTGTTTCAGTTTGTGTAATTGGGCGGTGTGCTTTTCTTTTCTAAAAAAGTTTTTGGTTGGGGTTTGGGTTTTGTGTTTGTGTTTTTTTCTTTTCTCTCTCAGAAAAAGAAATTTCATGCTTTAAATAAAATCCAAAGACACACCCTTTCACTGCTGATGCAGAAAAAAAGGGAAAGGGTTCTTGTTACTTGAGAATTTGTTTCTGATTTAAGCAAACAAGACTTAGTTTAATAAAAGAAAGAGTAAAACAAAAGATTCCCAGGTTATGTGCTTCTTCTGCAAGCAGAGAGGCAACTGTTAATGACAATTCCATATACCAAAAGACACATTTTTTACTTCAAAGTTTTGTCCTTGTGTTAGGCAGTCTGAGCGGCGGCAAGTGATCCAGAGTGCAGCCAACAAAGAAGCAAATAGCAATGTGCAGAAAGCAAAAAAAAGAACCATTATGTGAGGCACTTGTGTTTATGCTAGTATCCATATTCCTGTAACACACAACACAATGCATAACACACACACAATGTGTAACACACACCCTTCTCAAAAAAAAAACGGTATGAACTTTGAAAGGAAAACTTTGTGCTGCTAAAACATAGATTTTGGAGACAAATAGATTCTTTGCTGTTTCACTTTCATAGCCAAACATCAACAGAAACAATCTCCCCTTGCCCCAAAAGTGTGAAATCCTTCTCCCCTTCATTCTTTTCCTTGTTTCAAAAGGGAACTTTGAAGACTGTGAATGCAGGTTCCATTGGTCATCTTTTCGGCTTCTTTCCCCAGTGCTGAAGCCACTTACCGACTTTGCAAAAGACTGGAGCATTCCAAGATCTGAAAATGGATTTCTTTTTTCTTTTTTTTCCTTTTTAGCCGGGACTATTTTATTTTTATGAATTTGTTTTTAGTTTAATGAAAGAATAGATCCTGAACTGTTGTACATATTTCTAACTAGGCTGATGCACAGTGCAAATTCCTTTTTTAATTGTTTTTTTTTTAAGTAGAAATACTAAAGAATACCATCTTAACTATTCATACCAGTATCCAGCTGTAGCATAAGGTGTCAAAAACAAATACACAAAATATTTACTGTTCTAACAAGCTGTTTCCTTTTAACAATAATTCTTGTATTTCCCCCTGTGTTTGAGATGAACATTTTTAAATTTTAAAGTTGTACAGGTTTTTTGTTTTTCATTATTTTATCTTGTTTGTAACTCTATGAAATATATATATATTTTTTGCCATTTACCTGTTGTATGTTACTCTGTGTCTGTATCATATAGAAAAAAAATTGTTTTTGTTTTTGGTTCTCTATGTGATACCAGTTAACAATTTAACACTAGCTTTACCTGTCAAATTCTGCTAGGTCTTCTTTGAAAACTGTTTTTAAAAATGATATTGGTAATAGTGCAATTTCTATCCCTTTCCCTCCCCCCTCAAGTTTCTTTCTTTGTAATTTTGCCATTCCCCCCCCCATCCCTACCCCCACACACCCCTGCCAATGGTTTTGGGTTTTTTTGTTTTGTTTTGAGCTACAATGCCATCCTCCCTCTGTGAGGCAGAATGACTGTCAGTGTTTGGTTATGCCATGCCTTGACCTGTGGGTGTGTTTGGCAACAGTGAGGTGTTAGGTAGATTGGCTGAGCATGCTTCCGCCCACCGGTTTCCTCAGAGGGCTTATGTGATTGTTTCAACCTGGAGTGGGTTGCACACTTAATGCTTTCCTCTACAACTCTACCGCCCACGTATATGTTCATTCGAAAAAGAAAAAATATTTCTCAGCACTAACCCAGAAGTAGCAAAGCAATCAGCGATGGTGAAAATTAGAGGTCAAACATGAGCTAGTTAGATGTTTGTGGGCTGGCATCCACCGTGGCTATGATCGGTATCATTTATAAAGCATGAATTCACTACAGTGCTCAACTGTTTGGATTGATCTCACTCGGGAAATTTACTCCTGTCTGCTGCATAGTAGGTAGCTGAGTAGGATATTTCAAGTCACTTTTTAAATTAGTTCTTCACCTCCATTGACACTTCATTTTTTTATTTTATTTTTTTCTGTGAATACTCCACAGTGTGGGTTGGTGCTGGACACCGTTCAGTCATAGCACCATATTTTACCCACACAATGGGAGTTATTTCATCCATCTTTCCAAAAAGAAAAAGGAAAAAGAAAAAAAACTACACACACACACACACACACACACGAGAAAAGTTTAATGCATCTAGGAAGTTTTTTTTAATTAAAAGCTATTTAAAAAGATGAATGTGGCCAAAGTTTTACACAATTGAAAATAAAGTAAAACAGACGGCATGTGTTTAAACCTGAGTTTATCAGGCATGGCAGGAAGTTGCAGGAGAGAGGCAGTGACCCAAGCCAGTGCACTTGATGTTCATGGACATATATTTTTTTTAAATAATAAATTAAATTAAGACATTTTAAATAGAAGCATAAATTGAGTTGGTTGTTGGCGCTGAGAAACTGCCCACTGTGAAACAAAGCTTTGAGTAGTTTTTTTGTTTGTTTACTTTCTTCAGGGGGGAGGGGGGCAAGTTTGGGTAGGAAAGAAAGCATAAATGAACGTGACCCTGAGGTGAAGAGGTATATGAACAGCCTTTGCAATGTACAAAAACAAAAATGAAAAAAAAATAGAGCAAGTGAAACCAAAAATGATGTTCTTGGTGTTTTTCTATAATGTAGTCTTGTTAGCTTTTTTGTTACTGTAACAATGCTGATCTCGAACTGTACCAAAATACATGGAGACTAACAAACAGAACCACATGGAACTTTCAAACTGAAAAAAAAATTGTCACAAAAACTTTGTTGTCATAGTTAAGTTGATTGTAGATGGTAATTGAATATACTCCTTTGAAAATATTTCATCAAGTATGTTTCCTGCTCATTGTGATACATTAAAAAAAATATGAGCAAAAGTTTTTGTCTCTGTTACCAGATTTTGCATGCATGCATGTGCGTGCGCATGAGAGAGAAAGGCTGACGGTTGGTGAAGTGTAAATTTGAACAATATCTTGAGGTTGTGCAGGGAGTACTTATATACTGAGGGACACAAAGATATACACAAGTTCTTTGGTATTATTTCTAAATGCCCCTGTACTCATGAAAGTGCCAGAAGTTTGGGCTATGACACTGACTAGGTTATTTCATTGGGAGTCATGAAAGTGCCAGAACTGGGCTATGATGCTGACTAGCTTATTTCCTGGGGAGGGGTAATCTGACATCTTGTAGAATACTTGGCCCCACAGAGCCCTAATAACTACATTTTTAATTCAAATGTTTATATGAAAATTTTAGATACATGGCTTAACTGTAAGCAAAGAGGTTTTGCTGACAGCCAGGAGAGAAGTAGGTTCAACTTCTCTGAAATGGGAATTAGGTCTAATATTTACGATAGAAGGATATGAATGGTAAGTTGAATTAAGTGGATGATTGGCTATGTTTACCTATCCCAGCAAAAGACATTTCTAAACCTCTGTTAGTGCAGAATTTGAGATAGGAACAGTCTGCTCAACAGTGGTAGATAATCGTAATTCCTGCATACAAGAGTCTACTCCGTCATCAAAAACCCTCCTTTACAGCAGAAAATGCCTAAAATTCATTAATAAAGAGTACATCCAAGATTAAGCCCAAAGGCCTTCCATTCATCTCTAATTTATAGCCACAGCTAATAAATAATTTACAAAACTCTAGCAGCTGGGCTTAGGTGGCATTGCAGGCTGGCTGTGTCCTTGCAAGGTCTGCAGCATCTGCCCTCAGTCAACAGGGATTTTTTCTTCCCCAGAAGTTAAGTAACGGAACCCTCTTCCATTGGCTCAGACAGCCATTGTCAACCAAGTCTTAGTTCATGCAGGACGCATTCAAGAAGAAGCAGTGACCTTATTAACAAAAATTTAAAGAGTTCTGCAACTGGCACATTGTAGAATTCTGGCATTACTAGTGCTCAGAGAGGAAAGCCGGTTCCCTGGCCGGTGCTTGAAGCGCTGGGCCAAACAAGTAATGTCACTGTCCCTTTCTTTGGAAACCCAGATCCTTTTCCAGGCATTGTACCTTTCTTTTTAGTGTTCCTTCAGGAGCAGATGGACTCATCTCAGTATGTTTTCTTGGCTCACAGTTATGTCACTGATCTGTTTTCCCACCCCATGAAAAGGTACAGTATGATAAAAATTGTTCAGACCCAAAGCTATGTCTGCCTTTCTAAGCTATAATTATTTTTAGGATCTGGCAGGATCACATTGAAATGTCTTAAGTGGAACTAGTTTCTCAGAGAGGTTTTGCTGCTTCAGCTCTTCGGAGGAAGGTGACTACAATTCAAATTCCTCTACAGATAAACTTTTAACAAGAAAATAAGACAAAACCTTAGTGATGGTTGAGCCCTTGGTATCAGAGAATCTTTAAGCACCTAAATTACATTGAGAGAGGGTTGGGTAAGAGACCTGAAGCTCTCTGTTGCCAGAAAGGCTTTTTATTTTTTTCCTTAAGGGAAAAGTCTCCCAATCTGGCTTTAATATCATGCTCATGGATATTAATCTCCTTGGAATTAATAGTTTTTTCCCCCTGGAAAATGTGAAACAGCAACATCTTTAAAATGGCTGATATGTGATAGGTATCTGTTTCTAATTTTGCTTTAAAGAAATGTCTAGTGCCTAGCCCCTGTTACAGACTAATGACCTTCCAAGTCTCACTTTTAACAAGTTCAGGCTTTAAGTTATAAGAAGAGCACAAGCAGCTTGAGTTAAGTTGAAGGATAAGTTTGCACCTGCTGCTCTACTCTGCAGCCTTGATTACAGCAGGACAGATGTGCTCCCTTAGCCTCTGTACATTACCACTAGGGGTGGACCAGCCAAGGTTCTGGCAAAACTTGCAAAGAAATTAGTGCTCTCAGGACCGTTAAAGCAGAGGCAGTTTTCCATTATTCTTCGCTTCATGATGAAGGTGGGTACCTTCTTTCTCTCTTTTCTTCCTTCTTTCCTTCCTCTTTCATTCTTTTTTTAAAAAAACAAAACAAAACAAAAAAACAACTAGAGGCAAATGATTTTAAGATGTCTCAAGATGTCTTAGCCAGTTAGTTTGGGTTCCTCTGAAATCTGCCTTCTTGAGTTCTTAAATAACAAAAAACAGGAACAAATTTGCTTTTTATCCTTTATTTGTGACTACTTCTGATCCTACGTGGAAGAGATAGACAAGTAAGCTATTTAATCCAATTTCTGAGTTCTTTATTAACACGGGAATAAAAACTTTCAGATGAAATGTTTTACTCTTGGGCTGAGAACGCTCGGCCTAAGAAATGAGTGCTGAGAAGCGACTAAGTGGCAAGCAAGGAAAGCGTCAGTGGCTATTCTCTGCCTGTTTGTAATGCTGAAAGCTTTTTTTAACTTGCCTTCTTGCTCTCAATATACGACTCTTCTCTAAACCCCCTTATGCACTGCTGCTGTCTTTTGACCCCCTCTATAATGCCTTATGTTTGCATGACGCTTATAAAAATATTTTGTAAAATCATATACTTCTTGCTTGTTCCTTAAATGATCTATAAGCTAGGCAAAGTGGGTGACATTTATTCCCAGTGTTCAGGATAGTGAGGGACTGAAGGAGGGGAGAAGGCACTGACCATGTGTTCGGCTTTGGTCCAGTGCTGCTTCTCCTCATCACACTTTCCTGAGAGACACTACAGAAGTGGTTGAGAGTGAGTGCTCCAAGGTTAGGCAGATGGGGTTTGAATTCTGGCTCCACCGTGCTGATCTTGATTGAGTTACTTCTTCCCAGTGTAAAATGAGGATACTGGTACCTGCTTCATAGTGTTGTGAAGATTAAATGATGTGTGTAAAATGGTTAAAACACCGATACATAGTAAGAGCTACATATCTGTTGCTACTATTATTGTCAGTATTAACTTTCCACTTCTTTCTGTAGGCCTCCTGGGACTGCAGCTTTCTAACTCTTGCTTTACTTCACAGAGGGTTTGGGAACTGTAGTTGTGTAATTAAGTCCTATCAAGTGTCTACCATATGTTTATGTTTGATGCCTACCTGTTTCAGAGGGTGCAGAGATCCTTTTGGAAGTTTCTGCATATTAGTTGTACTGCAGTA